AGGAGTCATTCGTTATTTGAGTTGACCATAATTTATTTTATCTTTGAACACCCATATTCATGTAGTTTCCAAAAAAGATTGGTCAGATTAGAGAAGGATTCACTATTGTTTATGCGTAGTGTCTGAACCTAAGCAGCTGAATGAATATTTTTGTGAGCCGAATAATCTGTTTACATCTCTGAGCACCAAAACCCACATTTGTATTAAGCTGTTTAATATACTAATTCACATGCTGAAACACTGACCATTTTTCATTTGCCATGCTCCTGTGATAGTAAGTCAAAAATAAGCATAAAACTGAAATGAAAGTATATTTCCATTGCTTTTATTAGAATATTTACAGTGTTTTTGATACGCGGAACATTTCTTGTAACTTAATGGCAGAAATTCCAATTTGGGTCGAGAAATTCAGTGATGCGTTCCTGGTTTGGAATCTAGAGGGTAATTTTATCCTCAGCTTTTCCCTTGTTATTACTGTATGTTGTAGAGGTTAAAAGCTTGCGCGAAAACTATAGGATCGTCGGCAGTTTCGTTGGATGTCTTTCACAGTGCACACAGCAAAATTACCAACTCGGTCTTCCGTTGATGCTCAGCAGCGTAGAAGTTGGGCTCCTTTTAAAAAATGGTATTCGAATAAATTTGTGCTAATCGTTGTTAGTTCTTCATTGTCCATATTTTTCTGCTGCTTTTACTTTAACCTCTCCCTTCTTTACCTCATTATTTTTTGCGTAGTGAAAGGTGAGTGACGAACAAAATCGTTTCAGTGTTTTGCGTACATTAATCATTTTCTTTCTGTTCATTTCTTCATTCATTGTGTTTTTCTTCGTTTTCCTTCCTTTCCTTTCTTTACCTCTTCCAGTGATAATCTTTTAGGGGATCATATTGTGCTTTTCGTTAACGCCACATCATGATGTATTTTTAGGTTGGGCAAAACTGTTTATCTTGAAGCCACAGTGTTTGCTTCCTCCCGACTCAGCTAGGGAAGAATTTCAAAGGCAGCGTTTACAGATGGAAACAGAATTTGTAGTGAGCGTTTAAATTCTTGTGGAAGTTTACAGTTGTGAAAGTTTCAGAGTCGAAGATACTTAGAAGATCGTCAAAGGCATGACATAGGACGATCGAAGAAAAGAAAAGTTCTGACTTCTGGTTCAACTCCCGGTAAGGTAACAGCTAATTCTTATGAATGGGCAGAAAGGCTGTTTTCACTTTAATCTATTTTATATGGTACGTTATTTCATAATTTTGGATGAAAAGAACATGCTGGTCTGGCATACTATGGGGAGTTTAACTTCTCAGTCAAACCATTAAGCTGTATGAAAGTTTGCTGGGCGTAAGATTGAGGAAGAAAGTCGATATCATGGTGAGCCAATTTCGCTTTATGCCAGGCTGCTCAACTACGAACGCCATTTTTGCTTTATTGTCGATCATCGAAATATACAGAGAAGGCAGCATAGAATTCACATGGTGTTCCTAGACTTGAGGAAAGATTTTGATTGAATACCAAGGCAGACAATTTGCTGGAGCATGGGAAGGCAGCTGATCCCTGAAAAATGTGTTAGGCTCACAAAAGACAGACTATAGAATGACAACGATTGTTCATAGTACATGCCACGAAACAAACGAATTGCTTTTGCTAGTAAGAGCTCATTAAAATTCAGCGTTGTGTCGGTTTCTGTTTGCGATCTTGGCAGGCATGATAACTCAATATCCGTGGGAAGCAGTCCCATCCAGCACGCTCTCTGCAAATGGCATAGTGTTGGGCGATGATATTAGAGAAGAGTCCTTGAGAAAAACGGCCTTTCGTTCAGCAAGGAGATTATGCAAA